CTGGGAACTAAAGCAGCACAGTGGTGGGAGGAAGCGGTGGGGGAAGGGGGACGGGAGTGATGTAGTCTCCCTGGAATGCAGGATGGTGGGGGAGGAGGTCTCCTGAGTGGAGGAGTCCCAGCGTCCCTCCCCTCCCCTCTGCCAGCACAATGGACAATGGCAACCGCCCACACACTCCCATGGAGGGGAAGGGGATGAGTGCCGGGAACCCCGACCCCACCCCTGGTACCTGCAAGCCTGCAGCCACTCCCCTCCCGGCCCCACTGAACCCTTGACCCCTGTCCTGCAGCCCCCGCAGCTCGCTGTTTGCCCACTCTATTTGCCCAGCCCCAGGGACAGAGCTGATCCTTGAACTCTCAAGTTCCACATCGCCAGGACCAGTGAGCAGCAGCAGGGCCCAGGCTGGGCTTATCTGTCTCCCTGCCCAGCCCCTGGCTGAAGACATAAATAGGCCCTGCAAGAGCTGGCTACTTAGACTTCGAGAAGGAGGTGAGTGTTTCTGCCTGCCCAAGAAGGAGGTGAGTGCTGCTGCCTGTCCCGGGTGACTCTGGCTTCCCAGCTCAAGGCATCGAGGTTCAGGCTCTGCCCCAAGCCAGGCTTCTGGGAAGCTGAGGTCTTCTCCCACTCTGTGCCCATTCTCCTCACCTGGCTGTAATGAGTGGGGGAGCACGTGGCTTCTGCATGCTAGAGACCCACCCCTCCCACCGCCACTCAGCCAAGCTCTTCTTCTCCTCCAGGTCCCCCACAGCCCTTCAGGATGAAAGCTGTGGTGCTGACCTTGGCCGTGCTCTTCCTGACGGGTAGGTGTCCCCCAGCCTAGGGAACCAACTACTGGGGGGCTTTCTCCCTAAACCCCTTTGGCTCACCCTCCTGAGCAGAGGCAGCATGTTTCTCACTGGCCCCCTCTCTCCCACCTCCAAGCCTGGCCTTTTGGCTCAGATCCCAGCCCACAGCTGGCCTGATTTGAGTCTCCCCTCCCACCCCCAGGGAGCCAGGCTCGGCATTTCTGGCAGCAAGATGAACCCCCCCAGAGCCCCTGGGATCGAGTGAAGGACCTGGCCACTGTGTACGTGGATTCAGTCAAAGAGAGCGGCAAAGACTATGTGTCCCAGTTTGAAACGTCCGCCTTGGGAAAACAGCTAAAGTAAGGACCCAGCCTGGGGTTGAGGGCAGGGGCAGGGGGCAGAGGCCTGTGGGAAGATGTTGAATCCAGACTGGTGAATCCTCACCTACTATCTGAGGAGCTGGGCCCCACAAATGGTCTGGATGGAGAGACTGGAATGGGAGCCCCAGGCAGCGTCACAGCCCATGCCCCCTGCGAAGAACAGATCAGGGCTGCCCGATCTGTGGTAACAATGCCAGCTTGTGCCTACAAGGGCAGCAGCCCCCTTGCCCTTCGTCACCTCCTTTGCTCCTGCCCAGCAAAAGTGTGGGCTGTCTTGGTAGAGGCGAATGTGCTGGAGGCAGAGAGGTAAGGTCCTTCAAGGGCCCATTTAGGAGACCAGAGAACTGGGCACCAGTCCCAGCTCTGTCTCTTTCTTAGCTCCTCTCTGTGCCTCGGTCCAGCTGCACAACGGGGCATGGCATGGCGGGGCAGAGGTGTTGGTTGAGAGTGTACTGGAAACTCTAGGCCCCTGCACCTTGGCAGACAGGTGTCGCCCAGGACACCCCGGGTTGGCTGGGGCCTGGGAGGCCAGCCCTCAATCCATCTGTTTCCCCCTCCAGCCTGAAGCTCCTGGACAACTGGGACAGCTTGACCTCCACTGTCAACAAGCTTCGCGAACAGCTCGGCCCTGTGACCCAGGAGTTCTGGGATAACCTAGAAAAGGAGACAGAGCAGCTGAGGCAGGAGATGAACAAGGATCTGGAGGAGGTGAAGGCCAAGGTGCAGCCCTATCTGGACGACTTCCAGAAGAAGTGGCAGGAGGAGATGAATCTCTACTCCCAGAAGTTAGAACCGCTGCGCACGGAGTTCCAGGAGGGTGCGTTCCAGAAGCTGCAGGATCTGCGGGAGAAGCTGCGCCCGGTAGCAGAGCAGGTGCGCGACCGCGCGCGCGCCCACGTGGACACGCTGCGCACACAACTGGCACCCTACAGCGACGAGCTGCGCCAGCGCTTGGCCACGCGCCTCGAGGCGCTCAAGGAGAGCGGTGCCACCCTGGCCGAGTACCAAGCCAAGGCCAGCGAGCATCTGAGCGCGCTCGGCGAGAAGGCCAAGCCCGCGTTCGAGGACCTCCGCCAGGGCCTGCTGCCAGTGCTGGAGAGCTTCAAGGTCAGCTTCCTGAGCGCGCTCGATGAGTACGCCAAGAAACTGAGCTCCCAGTGAGGCGCCAGCCGCCGCTCTCCTTCCCGGTGCTCAGAATAAACGTTTCCAAAGTGGGAAGCAGCTTCTTTCTTTTGGGAGAATAAAGGGGGCGGGGGAGTCGGGGACATCGCGGTTGCCCGGGTGGGGCCTTTGGCCCTGGCGCAAGGACTTCCAGCCGGATCTCAACAACTCCGTGCCCAGACCGGGCCTCTTAGGGCCAAGATTGACGCTGGAGGACCTGCTGGAGGTCTGGCTGCTTATGAGGGAGGGAGTAGAGTCTGCTTTAGCAAGGCTTAAGTAGACAGGAAGTCACAGAGGACCACGCAAAGCCACAGACAATCCAAGGCCAAATGTTCTGAAAGAGGCTCAGACGAGGCCTGCCTCTTTCCTAGGCGGGCCAGGAAACAGGGTTACTTTAGCTGGGAGCAGTGGGTTCCCGGTCCCCAGAGGTGTTCACACACGGAGCCGCTTTCAGAGGAGCCGGGGCACAGTGGCCTCAGGGAGCCACTGGGACAGAGGTTAGGCCAGGTGCAGGTGAAGTGCTTGGAGTTTGCGCCTATACTCCTTGGTTAATTCAAAAACCTCTCCAGCAAACAATTCCCTTTTCTTTTCACAATCTCCCTCCCACTCCTCCCATCCCACCTAGAAATAGCCACAGCATCCTCAGGCACAGCAGTGGAAGCCAGCCCTCCATCCACTGCGGTTCCATGCGGTGCCACCCCGTCTTTCTGCTAGCTCTAACAGAAGCTGACCTGAGTCAGAAAAATCACCAGCACCTCTTGCAGGTACATTTTTATTTCCAAGTTGCTCTTATATCTGTGATCTCACTGCATCCTCCCTTGCCTGCATCCTGGCTAGATTGCCATCAGAAGCACAGCACGGATGAGGATGCTGAAGCCTGAAGATGGGACGTCGCTTGTCCAGTGAACAGTAGGATGGGCTAGGCAGCCCTATTTAGACCCTGTGCTCCTGGACATCCATGATTATTAAGAGTGTGTGGGTCGGGTGCAGTGGCTCACGCCCGTAATCCCAGCACTTTGAGAGGCAGAGGTGGGTGTAATTTGAAGCCAGGAGTTCAAGATCATCCTGGCCAACGTGGTGAAACCCTGTCTCTACTAAAAGTACAAAAAAATTAGCTGGGCATGGTAGCTTGCACCTGTAATCCCAGCTACTAGGGAGGCTGAGGCAGGAGAATCGATTGAACCCAGGAGTCGAAGGGTCACAGTGAGCTGGGATCGTCCCACTGCACTCCAGCTTGGGTGACAGAGCAAGACTCTGGCAAAAAAAAAAAAAAAAAAAAAAAGCATGTGGCCTAGCACTCAAGTTCACATGGGTGTGCAGGCATGCCTGCATATTCTCACATAACCTCCCTGCTCACAGTCCCTCTTTGCACTCATGTCTGAATGTCCCCCCGTGCATGCACATGGCTCCACAGATCTGGGCAGTGCACCCGTAGAGCCTTCCCCGTCCTGTCTCTGCAGGACCTTTTGCCTCCTCATGCAGGCCCCTGGATAATCTGCTCCATCCCCATGTCCCAATCTCCAGTGTATCTTAGCTACCCCTTGGGAAAAGGAGTTTGCTCTGTAGTTCCTAACCTTCCTACAACAGCAGGCAGCCAGCCAGGTCTGGGTGGGAGCATTTTCCAGATAAGGGTGCTGAGATCTCTCGGTCCAGAGAGAAGCCCTAGGAAATTTCCAGAAAGAAAGCAGTCTCCAGGTGGGGCGGGAGGTACTGATGCCACTGAGATCTGTAAAGGAGCCCCTAACACCTGACATAGAAGTGACAAAACTTCTCTGCATCAACTGAGCAGAATGCACGCGGCTGACCTGGGCTCAAGGTCCGGCCCTGCCACGTGCTGGCCCTGTGACGCTGGGCAACTCCATTCACCTCTCTGGGCCTCAGTTTGTTCATCTGAAGAATGGAGGCCTACTCAAGCCATCTGCAGCTCTAGAGCTCTCTGGCCTGACATCTTTCAGGTGGTGGGGACACGAAGGCAGCCTCTGTTGGGGTGAACTTGTGCTCCTTTCTGGATCCCAAGACACTGCCCCCTGCCACTCCAAGCTGGGTCCCAAGGGCCCGGTCAGCTCAACTATAATGATGACAACATTTATCAGGCATCTTCACATGCAGGGGCTGTGCCAAACCGTTTGAACACTCTCTCATTTCAACCTCATGACACACCTGCAGTGGAGGAGGTACTGTCCTACCCATTTTACATGTAAGGAACTGAGGCTGATGTCAAGTGGTTGAGTCAAGACTAGCACCTTGTTGCATCTTACTCCAGGCACGAGCCCATCCGGCATCCTCCCCTTACCCGTACCTAGGAGGGCCAGGTGGCCTGGGTAGGGGAAGAGAGCTCCACAGCTTTGAGTGAACACACACAGTCTCAACTCTGATGAGGACTTAAGTGCCAGGCATAGTAGCTGGCATAGGGCACCCATTCAAGTCACGTTGAGCAGCACCTAACAGTTTATCAAAGTATCAGCAAATGTATTGTCCTGTTTGATCTTCCACATAAACCTGTCAAGGAAGGCAGGGTACGGAGGGTGACTCCTACCTTAGAGATGAAGAAACAGAGGCCCAGAGACCGCCCAGCTACCAGGAAGTGGACAGAATGCTGGCCAGTGCCCACCCACAAAACAGCCTTGGCCCTTTCCAATGCCCAGACACAGATGGCACACTTGCGATGGTCCACTCATAGTAGCTTCTTGTCCAGCTTTATTGGGAGGACAGCATGCCTGGATGGGGCCAGGCATGAGGGGGGTGGGAGGGCATTGAGAGTATTGTCCCTTTTAAGCAACCTATGGGGGCAGCCTGGAGACTGCAGGACCCAAGGAGCTGGCAGGATGGGCAGGCAGGTTGACTTGGGGAGTTGAGGTCTCAGACACCCTCGGCCGGAATTGTGATCTCAGGGTTTGAATCCCAGAACCCAGAGAACTTGCCCTTAATCGTGCTCCAGTAGTCTTTCAGGGAGCTGAAGCCATCGGTCACCCAGTCCCTAAATCAGTAAGGAGAAGCAATGGAGGTTGGGGAACGTGAGAACTCCTTTGTAGGCAACATGGGACCCAGACCCATGTCCCCACGGGCTCTCCCCTCCACCCTCTCAACTTCACTTGCCCAGAGATCTCAGGCAGGAATCACCCACGGCTGCCACCCTGGGAGAAGAGATACCCTCGCAGGACCCCCAGCCAAGTCTAACTCTGCTATCTCCAGGTCACATCTGATGTTTGTACCCCTGGGCCTAAGGCACAGAGTGACTTGGTGGGGACATGTGAAAGGTCAAGGCTGTCACTGTTTTCTGTGCAAACAGCACCCCCTGGAGTTGTAAAACCTGGTGACTCTAAGCGGGGTGGGGCAGAGGGAGGCAGCCTCTCATTTAGAAAGTCATTAGAGGATTAATTAGCTGTGTGATCTGAGGCAGGGCACCTACTTGCTGTGAGCCTCAATTTTCTCATCTGCAAAGTGGGAAAATAGCGCCTACCCCATGACCGGTTCTGAGGACTAAGAATATTCAAGCACACTTCTGCTATGCCGGTCAGTGCCAGTTGGGTGAGGTGGAGAAGGGAGTGGGGGAGAGGAGAGGACGGGTTAGCAGGGGCAGGATGGGAGAGAAGGATGGACTTCTGCTCACACTGGCCTCAGCTCTTGGAACAAGGCAGAAGCGCTCTCACACCCAGGCTAGAATTGGGTCAGGTGGGTCAGGTGAGGCCTCCCAAGGCAAACCTCTAGCCCAGGGGTCCCCAAGCATCAAGTCACAGATGGGTACTGGTCCATGGCCTTTTAGGAGCCGGGCCACACAGCAGGAGATGAGTGGTTGGTGGGCGAGCATTAGCACCTGAGCCCCGCCTCCTGTCAGATCAGGCGGCATTAGGTTCTCATAGGAGTGTGACCCCCCTACTGAGAACTGCGCATGCGAGGGATCAGGGTTGAGTGCTCCTTGTGAGAATCTAAGGCCTGATGATCTCAGGTGGAACAGTTTCATTTACCCTCAAACCATCCTCACTAGTCTATGGAAAAATTGTCTTCCACAAAACTGGTCCTTGGTGCCAAAAAGGTTGGGGACCACTGCTCTAGCCAGACCTTCAGGAAAAAAAAAAAATGGGTCAGGTGCGGTGGCTCATGCCTGTAATCCCAGCACTTTGGGAGGCTGGGGTGGGTGGATCACCTGAGGTCAGGAGTTTAAGACTAGCCTGACCAACATGGTGAAACCCCATCTCTACTAAAAATACAAAAATTAGCTGGGCATGGTGGTGTGTGCCTGTAATCCCAGCTACTTGGGAGACTGAGGCAGGAGAATCGCTTGAACCTGGGAGGTGGAGGTGGCAGTGAGCTAAGATCTTGCCACTGCACTCCAGCCTGGGTGACAGAGCGAGACTCCATCTCAGAAAAAAAAAAAAAAAAAAAAAAAAAGGAAGAAAAATGGAAATAAAGGCTAAAAATGGCCCATCCTAGGGCTGCACTGGGGAGCGCAGAGGGACTGGGAGGAACATAGTCCCGATTCTGGCTCTGTGAGAAAAGAGGAAGCCAAAGAGGAACAGGCCCCGGGGAGGCCGGGAGCACCATGGTTCCGCTGCTGGCTCTCACCAGGGCAGGGGCGGGTGGGAATGCAGGGAGCTGGCAGGGAGGATGGGGAGGGACGGCTGGCGGGTTACCTGGCCTGCTGGGCCACCTGGGACTCCTGCACTTTGGTCAGCGCGTCTTTGGCGGTCTCGGTGGCGTGCTGCATGTAGTCCTGCATGAAGCTGAGAAGGGAGGTGTCCTCGGCCTCCGAAGCTCCTGAGGAAAGAGCAGGGCTGAGCAGGCTGGATGGGCCTCTGGTCAAGCCCTGGGGTCCTGCTCGACCACCCATTGGGACCGGGATCCCCAAGCCACCTCCACCTGCCCCCAGCCCAGTCCCACCAAGTGCTTACGGGCAGAGGCCAGGAGTGCCAGGAAGGCAGCAACAAGGAGTACCCGGGGCTGCATGGCACCTCTGTTCCTGCAGGGAAGAGTCCTGTGAGGAGCACCCCAGAACCCCATGCCTCCCTGAGGAGGCGGCGTGGCCCCTAAGGTGGAACCTGAGCTGAGTCTGCAGAGGGAGAAGGGGCCTGCTCCCTGCTAATCCGGGCTCTCAGAAGAGGGACTGGTGAGGGGCAGGGGACTGAGGCCCAAAGGGAGGTGGGCGGCATGGAACAGAAAACCCACCAGCCTGGACATCAAGGCACCTGCAGTCCGGACTGGTCTCTGTCCAGTCCAGCCAACATGCTGTGCAACTTCGGGTGCTTTCTGGCCCTCTCCAGGTCTCAGTTTCCCTGGTTGAGGTAGGCCTGGGCTGGCTAAGCCTTCCTCCAGCCCTAAGCCTGCAGAATGAGGGGGGCGTGCACTTGGAGCCAGTTCCAGCCCCACCCGCTATGTAGCTTTGGGCAAGTGACACCCTCCCAGGCCTCCATTTTCTTCAGGTTGTGGTGAGAGGTGGGGGCAGCCGTCCAGCTCCGAGGTGTCCTTGGCTCCAGCAAGCGCTTCTCCAGGCTTGCTGGCTGGCTGGGCAGCGAGCTCCTCTTGCCCCGCTTCATCCTCCTCCCCTCCTCTTCCCCCTCCCCAGAAGGCATTACCTGGAGCAGCTGCCTCTAGAGATGAACTGAGTGGTCAGGCAGGAGGGTTCCGACCTGTTTTATATTGTCTCCAGGGCAGCGGGCACTGAGGACCAGCGCGCCGGGCAAAGGTCACCTGCTGACCAGTCGAGACCAGGGCCTGAGGCAGAGCGGCTGGATGCAGCCAACTGGTGGGAGAGTTGGGAAATCCCTAGGAGACTGTGCCCACGCTGCTGTCCTGCCAGCCTTGCCTCCCAGATGGGCTTAGGAACTGGGGGTGGGCCTGGGGAGTCCCCCTATTCCTTCCTAGCAGACTGGCTCCTCAGGGAGAGGCTGGTGAGAGGGGAAATGGCTTGGGGATAGCCAGGGACCTCAGGCCCATCTCAGCCCCTTATGCTGGAATTTCAGGCCCTCCCTCTGCCAGCCCCAAACCCTGAAAACAGCCTGGAGAAGAGGATTGAGGGGCTTCTTCAGACTTGAGAACAAGTGGCGGGGTTGGGCTGGGGGATGTCTGGAGGGAAGGCCTGGAAGAGAAGGCAGCAGTGGCTCCTGCAAGGCCCGGTGACAGGGCTGAGCTCTTACAGCCCCCTGCAGCACCTCCATCTCTGGGTTTCAATCCAGATGGGTGAGCGCTGCTCACCCAGCAGCACCCCCCCACCCACCCCCTGCCCTGTGTGCCCCACCCCCACCACAGAGTTCAGGGCAGGGTTTGGTGGAGAAGGGCCAAGGTCACTCGGAACCCAAGGCCTTTGTCCCTCCCTCCGCCAGCCCGGCTCCCTGCCTTGCCCTCTGGACCCACTGATAACATCCCCCAGGGCAGGAACTGGTCTCATGGCTGGGGCCCTCCCCAACCGGGCCCCAGGACTGATTCTCTCGTTGGGCTTCCTGGGCTCCTCAGCATGGTTGGGAGAAGAGCAACTCTCACTGCCCCCTGGCTGTGGGAGCACCCGGGAGGAACAAGGTCTGGTGAGGACAGGGCACAGAGGAGTTGGTCTGGGAGGGAACGCTGACCCTTCTCGGGCTGAGATGTCTGCTGGGCCCACAGTGAAACTGTGGCAGGGATGGCAGATGAGGGGTCCTGTCTTCTGGATGCTGAGACCTTGGAGCCAGGACATCCAAGGCACTTTTTTGATCCAGGCCACAGAGGTAACATCTCAGAGCCTCAATTTTCTGAGAATAAAATGGGGCTAGAATACAGATTTCCCAGAATGGTGCTGAACGGGAAATGAGATAGAGATGTACAAAACAGCAGGTCCACAGAGGGGCTCACGCATCCCTCCCTTCCTCCCGACACTGCGCCCTTCCCAGACTGCGGAGTCTGCAGGCAGAAGGAGCCTCCAACATAAAATAGAGCTCTGGCAAGCCATCCTCTCAGAAGAAGTAACTAACACCACAGCGTGAAGTCAGAGGCCTGAGAAAGTGGCCTGGCCCTGCCCTCAGACTGCTTTATCGGTGGCTGAGATTTGGAATTCCTCTGTTAGATATTCATTCCTGGCTGGGCACGGTGGCTCACACCTGTAATCCCAGCACTTTGGGAGGCTGAGGCGGATCACTTGAGGCAAGGAGTTCAAGACCAGCATGGGCAACATGACAAAACTCAGTCTCTACTAAAAATACAAAAAATTAGCCGGGCACGGTGACAGGCACCTGTCACTACTCAGGAGGCTGAGGCATGAGAATTGCTTGAACCCGGGAGGTGGAGGTTGCAGTGAGCCGAGATTGCAACACTGCACTCCAGCCTGGGTGACAGAGTGAGACTTGGTCTAAAGAGAGAATGAGAGAGATTCATTCCTTTGACTTAAGACTTTGTTTTCTGGCCGGGCACAGTGGCTCACGCCTGTAATCCTAGCACTCTGGGAGGCCGAGGTGGGTGGATCACCTGAGGTCAGGAGTTCAAGACCAGCTTGGCCATCATGGTGAAACCCCATCTTTAAAAAAAAAAAAAAAAAAAAAAAAACTTTGTTTTCTGTTTACTTGCATTTGCCAGTAATCAGACTCCTGTGAAGTAGATGTTAACTCCATTTTATAGGTTAGAAACCTAAGGCGTGAAGCAGTAGAGACCTACCCAAGTGCACAGCCCATTAGTGGTAAGGCTGGGAACGTTAATCCAGGTCTTCACACACCCAGGAAGGTACCAGACAGCTTAGAGCTCTGAGACCCTACAGTGACATCAGTCACATCCCAGAACAAATCTGTCTCAAGTCTCCTGCTAACAGCAGACTTTGGTGGTGGGGTAGAGAAGGTGATGAAGCAGTCACTGGAGGATTTGGTATTGGGGATGCCCTTTTCTGCTTCAGACTGATTCTTAGCCTGGAGGCAAAGGCACAGCAGGGACAAAGATCCAGGTGGGGGCGAGCAGCCAGGTCCATGGGCCCCCGGCATGCTAGAATGGGCTGGCAGAGTCCCATGTTCCTGGATCCTCCAAGCCCTTCCATCTGTGCAGAGGGTCTGGAGGAGCCTGGTCTCTCTACTGCATGGCAATGGACCCAGGAAGGTCAGGAGATGTGGGCAGAGAGACCTGGCGGGGCGGTGCTGAGCTAGATGCTGCACACCTCCAGGAAGCCTGGCGCCTTGTCTTCTTCCAAGGGCTTGGCACTGTAAATGCCTGTGGCCCCTCGTCAGCAGTCCAGCCTGCACCCTGGCGGGGGCTCTCTTGGTGGCCAGGCTAGGCTGCTCTTCTCTCCCATCATGCCTCCCCTGGAATGAAGACTTCTACGGGGAGAAGCCAGTGGTAGGTGGGAGGAAGAGGCAATTCGACCTTCCAGAGCCAAAAATGGTCCTCTGGGGTTGGGCTGTTTCACCTTGTGTCCAGGTGAAGTTTAGTACATGAGCCCCCATGATCCATGCCCCTCCCACTAGGCTGACCTGGGCAGCCCTGATTCAGACCTTTTGGCCAGAGGCCCTTGTTCATCACATGTCATCATGCTGGAAGTTCCTCCTAGTATCTTACCCAGATCCCTCCTATGGCAACAGGAGCTGTCCGTTAGTTCTTCCTGGGCTTGCGGGGAGGGCCTTAAAGCATACGTGAGGCACATGTCCATGTGACCTGCTTGTCCCTGGCTCAGCCTGTCCCTGGCTTGATCCGAGTTGTCTGCTCCTGACTCTAACCACCGGATTGACTCCTGATTTGATCCCTGTGTGGATGGCCAGGAGGGGTGGCTGGAGCTAATGCTGAGGTGTCAGCCTCATTGCCTCACCAACCATTAAGTCTGTCTGTTGTACAAATAAGGAGAGGCTTGGAGAGGCGATATCTCCCTCAAAATCACACAGGCATTTTACACCACTCAGGTGGACGCCTCTGACTCACAGGGCCAGGCCTGGCTGGAAGGCTGTCTGCTCTTCCCGTCAGCTACTTGCCCCCTGCAAGACTGGGCACAGGGGGCTCTCATTCTCTCCCTACCCTCAACACAAATTCATCTACAGATTGATGCAAAACATAACCACAAACTTTGGGAAGTAAATACATTCATTAATAGGTCACGTCCCCGCCACATTGAGAGGCAGCAGGCCCCCTTGCGAGTGTGGGCGCACGCACAGGCTGCGCCAGCCCCTTGGTTCTTAGTGATTTGCATACTTCTGTGAACCCACACACACCCTGGCGGACGCTCTTGGACATGATCAAATGGTGCAGGTGCTCCCAGTGTGGGTGCACCCAGGTAGGTGGGCGAGACAGAAGCGCCTCTGGGCCTCTCCTATGCTAATGACACCTGCTGTTCAGACTGCAAGTCCCGGAGGTCAAACTGCAGCTGAGGTGTCATTCCTGACTCAGTCTCCTCCTCATCTCTGGCCTGGGGAAGGGGCAGGAGCACTGCCCTTTGCTCCTGCTGCAAGCTGAACTGTGCCTGATTCAGGAGCAGGGTTGGGAACAATGGGTTCCATGGGGGTGAGCCTGGCAGGAGTAAGACGTGGCTAACATTTAGTGATCACTTTTACTATGTGCCCGACATTGCTGCAAGCACTATAAGATTATCTCAGTGAATGCTCACGGCCTAGGAGGCAGGTACAATGGTAGGTTTCACCAAGGCAACCGAGGCTCAGAGAGCTTATGAGACTTGCCCAAGGATATACAGGCAGGATGTGTTGGATGCAAAGCCAGGGAGTGGACTCCAGGGTCTGACCCCAAGAGTCACTGAGAGATGGCACAGGCTGCATCAAAAAGGAGGCAGCATGGCAGCGTGAGGACCATGGTGGGGTGATGGGGTCCCAGTAGAAGGGGCGCCAGAGTCAGAGGGTCATTTGGCTGCCTTTGATCCTATGAGACATCAGGCCCCTTCTGGAAACTGAAAAAATGAACACAAGGCAAATTAGAGTTAGCACAATTGTGGTCTACTCTGGGGCGTTCATTTTTACAAATAACTGTAGCTCACTGTTGTCAGCACTGCACTTGCCGACAGGATCCAGCAGTGCAATGTGTTAGATGTCATCTCCTAGCCACTGGGAGTGGTGTGGTCTGGCAGAGGGACCCCTGCTGATGTGGTGTGTCACCTTCTCAGTGGATGTCTGTGTGTGATAGGGAATGTTGCCTCATTCAGAGATCCATTAGACATCTAAGTAGAAGACCGCCTAGGCACCACCACCATTACCCTCCATCCCCCAGTGAGGTCCTCCGAGAGCCTCAGGTCCCTAGACTCTGCTCAAGCCAGCTGCTCCTGCCCAGGGAGTGTGGCTGAGGGTAGAGGAGGGCAGGAGTCAGGCCTCAGGCTGGTCCCACCCATCACCCTGCCTCTGGCCCACCTGGCACCCCTCACAGAGCTGAGTCTCACTCTGTCACTCTCACTAGAGGAGGGAGCACTCTACGACACTCCCTGCCTTTCTCCAAATCAGGAACACAGTGTGATTATTATAATAACAGCAACTGTTTTTCAGAGCTTACTCTGTGCCAGGAACTCTCTAGGCAGCCCTATGTATCTGTGGTTTCTGTGTCCAGGGATTCAACCAGGCTTGAATTGAAAATATTTTTTTTATAAAATTGCATCTGTTGGCTGGGCACAGTGGCTCACATCTGTAAGTCCAGCACTTTGGGAGGCCAAGATGGGAGGATCACTTGAGGCCAGGAGTTGGCGACCAACCTGGGCAACATAGCAAAACCCCATCTCCATTAAAA